TAAAGTAGGTAAAGTAAAACAATATCTATTGTTAATTTTAATATAGATAATGTTTTACTTCACCTACAACTTCAGGTTTAGTGCACAAAAAATAACTAAAATATGTAAATACGAATAACACAGTTATGCGAAAATTAAGTTTAGCTAAAATATTTTAACAGGCGCTCAAACATACTTAAAAATAAAACTCGTTAAATCTAGTTTTATTCGTGCAATAAAGTACAAATTATACCGATAGGTAATCAGTGTTTTTCTATATTTTAATATCTATAAAGGATTTCGATTTATATCTGTATCTATACTAATATAATAAAGCTGAAGTGTTTTTTTTTGTTTTTGTTTTTAACACGCTAATTTCAGGAACTACCTTTTTTTAAAACTAGCTTTTATTTAAAAACAGTACCAAATTTCGCCCAAATCGTACGTTAAGTCAGTTTCCGAGAAATCAGTTAGGTACCTATATTAAAAATATGTAATTTTTTTTTCATTTCATTATTAATAAAAGTTTCAAATAGTTTCTGAAAGTATACTAATAAAACAATGTTTTTGCAATAAATACGGTAGTTAAATATTTTGCGACAAAAACGTAATTCTCCGCGATAATCATTTATTTTTGCTATGTGGGTTAGAACACTGTTAAACTAAAGTAAAAACGATTTACTACACTTTGAGATTTGAACTCGCGCGCCCCGTCGTTGATGATACGCATTAGTACTTTCAGGCAAATTATAAGTTATCATTTACGAAAACACCAATCATATTGCTCACGCAAATTAAGTTTGTTCGCTAACGATTAGAATTGATAACTTATAAAAATATAAAGTTAACACTGATTACGTATCTAATTCTTTTGTTAATATGTAGATAGGTATATGTTTGAATAGTTGTTATTGTTTAGTATATATAGTTTTAGGACGAAATAATTGTATAAGTTTTATTGAAAGTAATTTATGTGTATATTATGGGAAATACATTCATTAAAAAAATTGAAAACTTAATAATTAGATGTTAGAAATTAAAACAGCAAATAATTAGATAACTTATTTTTATGTTTGGCTTACTACCTCATTGTTTTTTTTTTATAGAATAAGAGTGACAAACGAGCACACAGTCCACCTGATGGTAAGTGGATGCTGTGGCCCATAGACATCTACACTTATCCTCGATTAGGAATCAAAACGCAGGTGCGTTGTCACCCTTAAGGACTAAGACGGAATGCCTCGTAACTAGTAAAAAAGGGTATCCAGATCTCTACACTCACGATACGAAACACAGCAGTATTAACCTGCTATTTTACGCTGCGCTGGTATTCTGTGGGAGCGTGGTCCCTCCCCGGTCAAGCCGACCCATTCGTGCTACAACTATACTTCTAATATAACTGCAGCATGGCTCTACCACGTATAAAAAGTCTAAGTCGGAAATGCTATTACAAATCGCTGGGTGTGTGGGGTTCGAATCCGTGGTAATTTTGTTTTTTGACATTATTATTATTCATTTATTTACGTATATTTGTCAGTTCGCTTGTTATAAATTTATTTTCAAATTACAGGCACTGATAAAGAACAAAAAATGTCGTTTATACCTTATGGTAAGGTAATGGTGGTCGTGGACCCTATAATTCCCGGAATAATTAATATCTGAGCCTCGATAATTGCTCAGCACTTCATTCCTTGCTATTAATATTTATCGTACATCTATTATTGTCACAGCGTTGCTAGCGATACGTTTTGATAGCAACGCAAATTTCAACAGTTCGTTGCGGTGACAATTTTAGAGCATCTAATTTTTAAACTTGGCACCTAATTAGCACGTAAAAAGCCCTTAATTTTAGTTTTTTCTAAATTCAAATTCCTGTTTTTGCGTTGCTAGCGAGACACAACTCATTACAAGAACACTATTAAACACTTGTAGTGCTACAATGTACAATTATTTCACTTCTGGTCATATTGATATTACTTTGAACCTAAATGAAAATTTATCTGATGATGAAGGAAGACATCCTAACTGTGGAAACTCAAAAGCACTGAAAAGAGAAAGGCAATAATGTTGTGCTTTTGTGTGTGAGTGATTTTGTTTTAAACATGGAAGATAATGCGACTGATAAGTTATTACTTATGAGCAGCTGTAAAATCGTCTTTCAGAGCGACTCTAATTTATAAAATAAGCGTAGCTCTTGGTAATAATAATAATGTCCTTCAGACCGAATTTCGGTCACGGTAGCCTGCCTCAACGGAGGCTAGCCATTGGCGCAGGACGGGATTATAGTGCCCAAGTGTATGCACAAGCACAGGTGCACTCTCTATTCCCTCACTCTCATAATCCGATGGGACGGTAAACCGACACGACCGGAGAGAGATCGCAGAGAGATAGCAGAGAGCGCAGGACCAACGGTTTTGCGTGCTTTCCGAGGCACGGGGGTGTGACACCGCCAACTTCCTGACTCCGGGCAGCTACAGAGAATTTCTTGACAGGAAAACTCAATAATTGATTTTTTGGCTCGACCCAGGACCTCATGATCAGCAGTCGCACTACTACAACCACTAGACCAACGAGGCATTCTCTTGATAATAATAATAGTAAGATTATTAATGCTAAGTGTCAGTGTCCAGCATCTGCTTCGAACAACTGTTCTCATATCATTTCTGCAATGAATCCACTTTTTTGTGTCAAATTGAGGTTTTATAAACGCCACAAATTTTATACCGTCTCGCTTGTATCGACCGTCAGAAGTGCAATTCGCGAATGCACAACGTTTGGTAGGCATGATTTATTTTTTAATATTTTTTCTTCACTACTGTCAATATCGAAATCAAAACATGTGTACTAGTGTTGCCTCTGGCGGATCTTTTTTAAATCTTCAGAGGAAACAGGCTAATTAAGAATCAAAATGCAATCGCGTTGTCACACCTGCGAACTAAGATATAATGCACCATTATCAGTAAAAAGGGCCTCCGGTTTTCGTCTAGAAACTAAACAGCAGAATTATAATGAAAGTTGACGCTGGTATTCTTCGTGAGGTGGGCCTGTTCCCGTTGCGGCAACCCATTCGTGCTGTAGCAATAAGTGTATGCACCACGTGTTACAAGAAAACATAAAAAACCTGTTTTATAACATTTATTGCGATATCAATATTGACATTTTAATTTATTTAATAATGCAAATTATAAATCATAAGTTTTCGATTACTACATAATATAGTAATGTTAATAAAGAATCATCTTTAGACTTCTTCATATTGATAGGGCTAGTTTTTATTTGATCGACATCTTTGTAGACCACATAGAAAACAAATAAGAGCCAGACAGAACCAATAAAAAAGTATTTTAATACATTAATAATGTAAAAAGTTTATTGCACTATACGAGTAAAGGAAAAATCTCAAAATCATGAAATCTTGGTAATACATTTTATAAAAAGTTAAATTTATCGTCATAATGTTCGATAGTTCTAGGCAAACTAATACTAACCATTCACGTAGCGACAATAATATGAATCCACTCCCGAACTTTAGGTCGTATGCGACGGTCGCCGAGCGGTTCGTGCGTCCAGAATATGTCTAAACTTTAATGAGAACTTCATCAACACTTACATGACCGCTTCTGTCGAAGCGCCGATGTTTGCAACGATCAAGCCACTCAGTCTGTCAATTACTATAATAATAATAATTGTCAAGGACTACGGACATGAACTATGAATAAAGATAGATAAAAAGAAAAAATTAAAAGAAATGTATGATGGGTAGAGGTCAAAATAATCGTACATGACTTTAAAAAATATGTGTCCTCGACCGTTTTCAGCTTATATAAAGATTAGTTCGGGTCATATCAAGTTATAACCAATTTTGTTTTAAAGGACAATTAATTTACAGGAAAACAAGCCATTTTAGTTATGTTTAGAATATAACTATACCGAAAAAAATATTAGCAAACTAAAGTCACTAATTTCACGTCCATACAAAATGAAAGTGTCCTATTGCGTAATGAAAATTTACATATTATAAAATAATCAATACTAGGCAATTTTTAGCAATATTATATACTGTTAAGTAAAAACTGGTGACTTAATTATTGTTTTCATTCATGTAATCGTTAATTTATTATGTCTATAATTATTTAATTACTGTTTATAATAAAATCCCAAATATCATTCCTGTGAATAACTCCAGGTAGATAACGGTGTTTTAAACGCTCCCGAAAAGAAATTCTACCATATCGCAATTATATATTATGCTAGCAACACTGTTACTCACATCTCGTGACTTTTGAGAACGCCATGTTGTCACTTCATTAAGTTTTGGTTGAAAGAGTGCGCGCACAGAAAAATTTGTCCAAAATATTCCTGTGAAAAACTAGTGAGTGAGATAAATTCTAAAGTGAATTACGCGGGTCTGGATACACAGTCTGAAATAGTGTGTTTTGGTGCTCATACAACACAGAGACATTGTTTTCAAGGTAAGATATTTGTTGTTATGACGATGCATTTTAGAGGTTATAATCCATATTTTTCCTTCCTGTGGATAACGTAACACGACTTAGGGCTAGTTCATACTGCTAATTGTTACTCACAGGATTTTATAGATTTGTGAGTAACACTTGGTAAAACGAATCAGTTTGTATAGTAAGTGCACCTGCAATCAATAACGAGTTGTTCACTTCAAACGAAAATCTCATTCATCTTCCGAACCGCTTGGTTTTGTTCGTATTTTTAACCGACTTCAAAAAAAGGAGGAATTTTAGAATTCATATTTTTTTATATATTTATATATGTATATGCATGAAATATACTGGCATCCACTTCTGGAATAATCTATTATTATTATTTTAATATTTCATGGATTGGACTTTTTGGACGTATTTGTGCATAAATTAAAACTAATTGACTTTACATGCTTACTTTTAGATGGCGCCAATGTCGAATGCTGAGAGACAAAGAAAATACCGTGAAAAAATAAAACAAAATGCAGAAAAATACGAGGAGAAAAAAAGAAGCATAGAGAATACATGAAAGCTGCTAGAAGACCAATTGCAGAACTGACTGAAAAAGAAAAGGAAAAAAAGCGACGAGAATGGAGACTTGCCAAAAAAAAACAAAAAGAAGGTGGTGTAACAAAACCAAAGAACAACAAGTGTTGTGCGTTAAATGCACGATTATGTGAAAAATTGAAGAAGCGAATAACAGATCAAAAGAAAGTTATAGATAATATATTGCTGAAGAAACATGCTTTACAAAAAAACCTATATAGACATAAAATTAAAATTGAAGAGCTGCGCAAATTGATCTCAAATTCAGAACGAACGGAAAACAAATATTTAATAAACTCATCAGAAAGTAAAACCAACAGTGAATTTGTACCTACAGACATTAATGCACCAACTACCTCATCCGGACTGACCACAACTGACAAATCTGAAAATGAAGATTTACGTGAAAAAACTCCCATGTCTAAAACATTATCCTTTATAAATGAAAATATTCCATCCATATCCACTCCTGAAAAAAATAAAGTTAAAAAACAGATCCTGCAGCTGAATGTGATCAGTGCTTCGTTACAGACAGCATATGAAAAACATGACAATAAATCAAAACAGATCCTAAAAGACATTGTTTCATCCGAAGCAATAGAAAAATATAATCTGAAAACTGATATTTCGAAATCATTGGGACTGAAAGGGAGAGTAAGAAAATTTCAGAAAAAAGGAAAGGACATACAAAGAAGCTAAAGAAATACGTATTTTTTTCAACAGGGATGATAACACTAGAATGACAGCTGGCAAGAAAGAATGTGTTGGTAGAGGTAATGATAAATTACAGAAGCGATTCTTGCTTACTTCATTGAAGAAACTTTACACAAAATATGTAAGCGAGGGAGGAAAAGCTTCATTTTCAACTTTTAGACGAAATAGGCCAAGAAATGTGTTACGGCCAAAGTTGAGTGATAGAAACACCGTTGCATGTATAAAACACAGTAATTTAGCCTTCAAAGTTGCTCATTTAAAGAAAATTGGCGTTATAGGTACTTCCGATTTGCAAGAATTACTTGCATCGAGTGTGTGCAGCGTTGAATCGTACGACTGTATGTATTTAAATTGTGAAAAGTGTAAAGACACCAATCCTGAAATGAATTTGACAGATATTACAAACAATACAGAATGCACATGGATACAGTGGATTAGAAAGGAATTTACGTTTGAGAAGGGAATAGAAAGAAAAATTACTACTACAAAGAAATATGCTAAAGAAAGTATTAAGGGTACATTTTCAGAACTCAAAGAAATGTTTTTAGCTGATCTACGTGCATTCCGGCAGCATTTCTTTAATATAAATCATCAGCACAAAAAATATCGAGAAGTTATTGATAACCTACTACCCAATGAAGCAGCTCTAATAATAGATTTCTCAGAAAATTATTCCTGTAAATTAGGAGAAGAGATACAGGCTCTTCATTTCGGAGCATCAAAGGGCCAAATTACGATCCACACTGGCATAGCATATCTACAACAAAAAAAAGGTTCCTTTTGCTTCGCTGTCCGACTGTAACTTACATGACCCTGGAGCCATCAGAGCCCACATAGAACCTATAATTGAATTATTATTAACAAGCAATCCCGACATAGATACCATACATTTTTTCTCAGACGGTCCAAGTACGCAATATAAACAAAAAAAAAATTTTTACCAGTTTACAGAGTTATGCAAAAAGTATAAATTTACTTTTGGAACCTGGACGTTTTTCGAAGCTGCGCACGGCAAGGGTGCTGCCGATGGAGTAGGGGGTGCTGTAAAAAGACTGCTGGATCAAAAAGTGGCATGTGGAAATGATGTTAGCTGTGCCGACGATGCTGTGTCTATTTTAACTGAAGAATCATCTGTTACAATATTTTCAGTCTCTGAAATTAATATTCGGGATGCACAGAACCAGATACCGAATGACTTGGATCCAGTACCACTTACTACACGATTACATCAAATTACTTACCATGTTCCATCAACAACACTAAGGTACCGCAATGTCAGTTGTTTCTGTAAGTCATCTTTGCCAAGAGGGATTTGCGAATGCTACAACGCGAAAACTCACGTCCTGAAAAAAACTATAGTCCACAAGATAAATTGTTCAACCAATGTTAGTAAAAGGATGCGCAACAATGAGGAAGCGGGGCAATTGAATGAATGCGGAGCAGTGCTGCCAGAAATTCCCGTGGTTTCACATCGAATATCAACCAATGACATTGACGTTATACATGACGAAGGTGGAATTTTTCAATCGAAAACAAAAGCAAGTAGTTGCATCATTCGGGAAACTGCTGGAACAAAAATTGTATTGATGGCAAAAAAATCAGAATTCACTTAATATTAACACTAACGTCTTGACGAATGTAAAACAAAAACCCAAGATTATATCGCAAGTTATAATTCCGCCCTCAAAATGTACCCCAAAAATTGTTACCAATAATGAAAATAAAGAAAACTTATCATCACTTAACACTAAAAACTATGACCGGCTTAAACGAAAAACGAGAAAAGAGATTAAAAGAAAAGATAAGAAGTTAAAAAGAAAAAAAGAAGAAGATGAATCAAGCAATAGTGACATCGCTATGAGTGTCCACAGTGATTCAGACATTTGCGACGTTGCTTCTGAATCAGATAGCCTGGATATGCAAGATACAGATTTTAATATTAATAAATCAAAATCTAAAGGCTGCAAAAAAAATGTAAAAGTTAAAATTGAAAAGACTAAAACTTGCCTTATCCCAGATACTATGTTGCATCAGCCCTCTTCAAGTTCCAACTTAGAAATTGTTCCCATTGATATAAAAAAATACGATTATGTATTGGTAAGACACTTTTTAAAAAAAAGAGTGGAATATTTTGTAGGCACAGTTTTGGAAAAACCTTTCAATGACAAGGTAAAAATATCTTTTTTAAGAAAAGTTGGCAAACATGACAATACAAAATTTATTAAGACAAAGTCAATGGAAGTGGAGCTAATAGATTGTAAGAATATTGTAAAGACTGTAGAATTAATGTCGATCAATGAAAATGAGACTGATTTTGTATTTCTTGACGACGATGATTATATATATTTTGATTAAAGAATTACATAATTATCACTCAAGTTACCAGTTGTAATAAATATATTAAAGTTCCTTTTTAAGTAATAAAGTTCCTTTTTTTTGTTTTGTTATTTTCACCGCCAAAGTAATTGTTTTGTGTAGGTTGTAGTTTTTAAAGCATGTTTTCGGTGGTGAACTTGTTAAAAATACATTTATTGATGTTAGCAGTTGTGTCAGTCTAACAATAAATAAAAATATGTACCTATTTGTTGTTTCAATGTGAAAGCATCCTATTATTCCTGTGAGTAACATTTTCTTATCAGGTGAGTAACGTTACTACCCGGACTTCATGTGAGTTGCGGTCGATTATTTTGACTTCTACCCTGATAGCATTATATGTGCGCATATCGTTATATAAAAATATGTGTGTTTGTTGTCAGCGCCGTAAAGTTATCGACAACTTAGATCTGCTTATGAAGAACTAAGGTGGGTGTATCAAGGAAGGCCACTCTAAAAAATAAACAATTATTATTCTTTTATGTACTGGAAAAACGAAACTAACAAATATTTAAGTAATACTTTGTTTTATTACGTAACATATAAACCACTTTTTTAAATTGCAGATTTAATCAATATTGATAGAACTTAATTTTCATTGAACTCTTCCAAATAGGCTTCTTTAATCTTCCAAAGGCTCCTTAGAAGGCCATAATAATAAATCAGTCATTTAACACTAAAGTTTAATAAATAGCGATTAAATCTATAATAAAAAGAAGTGGTTTATATGTTACTAATAAAACAAAGTATTACTTAAATATTTGTTAGTTTCATTTATCCAGTAAATAAACGAAAAATAACTGTTTATTTGTTAGATTGGCTTTCCATGGTACACCCACCTTACCTTAACGTTGTCGATTCCCGAAATCAATGAAGCGAGGGACAGTACTGCTAAAATAGTAGCGCGAGCGATTCACCGCCGCGTCTGTGATTTTCAATTCGATGGGTGTTTGTGTAAGTAGAAGGAATTTGTCATCACAATATGTCATGGTAATAAATACATTTTAATAATTGGCCTTCGAAGGGGCGTGGCCTTCCATAGTCCACCCACCTTAATTAAAAAGCTAAGGAGTATTACTACCGACTACAAAATATTGCAAAAATTGCAAATTATAGAACGTAGTTTAGGAAAGATTTTTTTTCTCATTCAGCCTTTAACACATTCTAATAATGCTATTATTGCTAATGCAGCAATTCTATTTTTGTTCACAACTAGCTACGCGCCCGGGCTTTGCCTGGACAGTCTCTACTAATATGGCGTTATTTAGATTTGTGATAATCGAATACCATTTATTTTATCAATTCTTTCTTTTAATAGCATGTTAGTTTAGCTATTTGCATGTTATTATGTTAATAGCGTGCGAGTAACCCCCTAAGCTTAACAGTTACTTCAATATCACAGACAAATTCTTCAACTTCATTTATATGTATAGATGTTTTAATTTGGACTGTAGAGCACACCATTTTTCACAAGTAACGACGGACAACAACTATACTGAGATATTGGCGGATCGTCCTTGCGACCAAATCGCAACATAAGTGCGCTATACAAATTTTCGTTGCGATGGTTCGATCGACGGTCTGTACTACTGTCGCAACTTGAACGGTAACTATAATATATAGGCAAGACCACCTACCTAATTTTCACCAACTATAAAATTTAAGACGACTTACTACTTACTTATTCATAAATTACAATTTAATTTGTTCCATAAATATATAAACAAATTAATCCAAAACATAATTACAAATATGAGTCTTTGATTTAACTTAGGTAAGAAATCTTTGGCAATAACCACGCCACAAACATAATATGTCCCTTCCTTAAATCTATATTATAGTCGGTTCCTAGAGCAGGTAGAAAAACGGACGTCCTAGTGAACTGCTACTGCTTCTGGACTGAGTGTACTGTTGGGATAGCCAACCGTTTTCTCATTTTCCTTTTACCTTTTGCTTATACCTGCTGTGAAATATCAGATTGGTTTAATCAATAAATCAATTTTATGCCAATTATTTGATTTTCTAATAAAATTTGTTATTCATCAAATTTAATTGAGACATAAAATTGAAATAGCTATGTTCCCAATCTAAATAAACTTATGTGAAGCAAAAGAGTTCCGTAAAAGTTTTCCGTAGACATTAACATAGTACTTTGTCAGGTTTTCTGCCTACCTTGAACATACTTTAAAATAGCTCGATATACCATAATATACTACTGGACTTAAACATATACATGTAATATTAAAATACATCCATTATTCTAACAGTCAAGCTAAAGGAGGATACATACACGTGCCACAAATATATTCCTCTTCATTTTTTTGGCAACACTTGTTTATTAAATTGTATTGAGTTTATAATATCAACTTTGTCAATAAATATAAACAATTTTTAGGAAGAATCGTACTAGTGATAGATAAGCTATCCCCAGTTTATTAATTCATACATTCATATATTATATTACATATTTATTTGACAACAACAATATCTTTCTTTTTTTTTTTTTGAAAAATCTTGATTTGGATTTTTGTACGTTATAACTTAAATAAATCCTAAAATACAGTTATAAGCAAATTAAAGACTAGATGAAAGTAGAAATTAATGTTTATACAACACCATAGTTATGTTCTTCCATCATATAATGGTCTGTTTTTTGGCATAATAAACCATAAACTTATTATTGTATACTTGGCAAATAGTTTCTTTGGGTACCGTATTTCTAATAATAGATTGCATTTACATAATTTAATATCTAAAGATAATTATTTACCGCTTTTATCAGTACTACCTGGACTTCCACATATAAGACTACATGAATTGTGCCGAGTTTTTCTTGTGCCATCAATGCTAACATCTCCTGCAGCAACAGAAGTTAATGCAACAGTTTTGTCGAAGTCTATTGTTGTGTAACCAACACTGGAAGGAGCTGCTGCTGATGACGGGCAAGTTGCAGGCGTCTGTTCCAAACTATTTTGAGAAACCAGGCGCCCACGATTTTGTGATGTATATGAAGCAGTGCTTTCATTTTTTGAACTTGTGTATGACTGGCTCTCAGGGGATGCTAAATCTCTTGCAGTTTTCGTACATTCCTTGTTAGAGTCTATATCGAGCACAGCATAGTTCACTTCCAATTCTTCAACTGGTGACATTGATGTATAAGTATCAGATTCCGAAAACTTTTGTGATTGTTCTGCACTACACGTTTTAGCACTGTCCACCATATCGCCCAACAATAAGTTTGCATAACTGTTAATTTCTGATTTGTTGCCAATAGTCAAATTACAATATTCTACTTGTTTTGGGGTGAGTGGTGTGGTGGGAACAATTTCAGTTTTTTCATTTTCTGCCAGATTTGTATCATTTGGTGCAATATTTACATACAGTCTAGCTGCTTCTTGTTGATCAACAGTTAACTGAGCATAATGGTCACTACTATTACTTATAGTCGGTGATAAAGCACTATTCACATATTTTTTAGAAATGGTCTTGTATTTATTTGCCAAAAATAATTTTTTATCTTCATCGTCTTTTTGTGTGTTTAAAACCATTTCTTGGCGTAAATCATTTCTAAGAAGTGCCAAATCTCTGCTAAAATCATTACTATACAAATGTCGACTATCTAAAGTGGCTTCTTGATTATTATTATGTTCTCTTTTAAAATCACGTACTTGATAAACATTAGTAACATGGTTGTTAAGAGCTTGTGGGCGTGGATTTAATGGCATCACCTCCAAAATATCGGCACTAGATGGTGATCTTGGTGACTGGTTAGCAGTTCTTGTTACTGATGTGTGAGAAGCAATATCAGATAGGTTATTATTATGTGTTGGCGCTGAACCGTCTATTTGACCATTGTCGATCGAGGAACGATGTACTACTGAAGCTTGCAATGTTTGTCTTCCTTGGGGCGAAGGTGTTAACCTGGATACAGGGTATGACATGGAATCATGAATGACATTTCTCAATTGAATTTGCTGCTGTAAGGTATGAAAAAGAAATGATGCTCTCTGACACCTAAACGCGTAAATTCCTTCTCCTGTTTCACATCTCCTTCCTGTAAATAAGGCAAAAATATCCATCATAATTACGTAATAATCTTTATAATCTTTATTGATAAACATATTACATGCACGAAATTTACAGTGGTCATTAGCCTATATATAACTAGGATATAATACCTGTATTTCAGAGGCTAGTTTCCTTCCCTATTCTTAGTTCTATTACTATAACTTGTTTATCTTTGTAATATATTTGTAATATTTATTTATTATATAATATTAACAAGTATTATTTAAAACGTAAAATTTATGACAGTAAAAAAGGGAATAAAAGAAAACAAATGTAATGTTGGCACTGTGCGTGAGTGCGTGCGTCCGTGCGTGCGTATGTCTGTATTAGCGTGTGTTGTTTACATGTCCAAAGAAAGAAGGCTCTCTGTACCTTCAAAATCAAATTTTTTTTAATTTTTTTTGTAATACAAGGGGGTACAAGGAATTAACACTTTCGCTCATAAAATTAACCTACCATGTATGTGATACTGCCTGCTAAAAAACCTAAGCTCTGTCGACCAACCAACAAATGTAATTCAATTCGGCAATACCGAAACCAAATCTCATAGACTGGTAATTGTTGAAGCAGCATCGTAGGAGGCTAGAACTCTGCGCTCCCTAATTACTCAACATAGTGAACCATGTCATTCATCATTATAGCCCATCTCAAGTCTATTTGATGTTACTTTCACGTTGACATTTCTTACCAGATCATCACTCTATATTGAGAAAGACCACTCTACACTTCACACACCAGTTCGAAGTTGTCACTCTAGAATCGGCATCGGTTGTGGGTTATTTGAATTACATGGCCGACTCAATGCCACTTCATTCAGTGAAAACCCGCATACCCATTTAAAGTTCATTACACCAAAACGTAAAACTTATTACAAGACAATATATATATTTCATGCGTTTATAAAAGGTAACCTATTTATGGGATCGGTCTATGTAGACGTAGAACAAAAAAATAACCACGAAGGGGATGGTGGGGTCTATTCACTCGCTTCGCTCGCTCATAATACCCCGCCATCCCTTTCTAACCTAACCTGTCCGAGTTGGGGTGCAACAAGTCCAAGCTCGCTTCGCTCGCTCTTGCACTCAACAAAACACCAAAATGTTAGCTTTTATAATTACTTTTAATTTTAAACATAATATATAATATAATAATAAGCACACTACGGCTCGCACAGGTGTCTGCGATTTGCTACTTCCATGCCTACGGCTTTTCAAAAACACTAGGGGTAGGGCAGACAAGACTATGTGGATTCGGACATTCGGAGCGTGCTGATTTAATTTTAGTACAAATCAGATATCTATAAAGTTAGGTTGCCTTTGCTCCCGCCACAACCATCTAACCTATTACAACTGAAAGTATTATTGGATGTTTAAGTATTAAATTAATTAAATGCCCAGACAGTTTTAAACAATTTAGAAATAAAACACAGTATATTATAATCATTTCTTTATTGTTTATAAACATAATTTATTATTTTTATTAATTCCTCAAAAGGATCTCTTTTATTTTTTACAATTTCTCTTCTCCATAAATATTCATATATTAAGTCGGTAAAATGTTCTCTATTATTATAGTTATCTTTGCCAAAATATCAAACTCAATTCTTTGAGTGTGTGTGCCGTCTGCTGCCACAAAAGGGTTTTCAGGGTCACTATGATTTACTTTTTTGTGTATGTACCCATAATTTTGTAATCCATCATAAGCCTGCGAAAAATCAGTATGGATGATGGTGCTCTCAGCCACATGTTTTTTAATCAAGGGCATCAAAACTTCAGAAGATCGCACATTTTGGGGGCAAACTTCTAATCTTAAATCTTCACTATCATTTTCAATCATTCCCAGCACCCAATGACCTTCAATGTGCCGACCTAAAACAAGATTAAGTATTAATTTCAAATTTTATTGATAAAAATTAGCCTATTTCATCTCCAGGTTGTTAACTATATGCATGCATTTAGCCATAACTCACCTTTATTATATTTCCTTTTTCCAAATTTACTCTCATCTATTTGGACAATTTTTCCTGGACCGCCAATTTTTCACAGGAAACTTTGTTTTTCTATTTCATAGATGACTACAGCCTCCCGACAGTAGTTGAACCAATCATTAACAGTTGCTCTAGATAAACAATTTTCCCTTTCAAAATAATCTTCTTTTAAAGTCATGTCATAACTCCACTTATTTGCATATGCATACATTAAGTAAAATACTTGAGGCATTGTTAATTTAACATTCTCGAACCAAGTGCCTTTGCCACGGCTAACTTTTGATTTAGATCTGCATGGGCCTCGGTTGCAGACAAATGAGCCCACCATTCTATTGGTGGAGTATTCTAAACACATACTCTTTTTATGGTAGCTACATATTTTTGTTGCTGGGATCATGCCTTTTTCCTCAGCAAAAGGAATAGCTTGTTCCCGTGTGCCAAGTTTTCGGTATACAGTAACTAAATTCCACAATGATTTCATCTCCTCGACATATAAATGGCGTTTCACTGGCAGTTCGTCACTGTCAAAACCGCGACTCGTAGATGGTTGAGGTTCCTCCGAATCAGACATTTTCAATGTTACACGTGTAGCGTCCGGTGTAGAAAAGCAAGTAAGATGTGTAAGCAAGCAATCGAAAAAATCCAAATGCGCGCACAGGTCAATCGAGTAGGCAGAAAATCGGTGTCCGGGGTAGAAAAGTAGATAATTCGTTGTGCAGGCAAGCAATCGGTATCCAAAAAAGAGAAAACAGTTGTTTTCACAACTGTTTGTTCTTTTTTGCTACAATAATACACTGGAGAACACACATTCACGCAAGAAAAGCAAACAAGGGCGGAAATGGCGGGATGCATTAATTTTTTTTAAATTTTTTTTATAACTGCTTTTTGTAACCGCTATCCATCTTTTACAGTAATATCGTATAATTTTATCTCAGAAAGGCTAGAACCCAGAGCCGTAAAGTCAGTTTAATAATAAAAAATGTATAATTTTTATACTTTACGCATTTTAGGTTATAATATTTTTTATTTATTTTTTCGATAATGGTGCATTACCTTTTAATGTGAGTGGTATAATTATAATCGGGGAAACAAACCTCTACCAAATAAAACACCTTACTCCCCCAAATTCCTGCCAAACGATTCTAAATCCAACCCTTCATTTATTAATTTTATTCATTATTCTAAAGTATATCTTAAAGATAGTCATTTCAAATCCTTTTATAAATTTAAGATGACAGATTCTTACATAGCAAAATTATTCATTAAGTTAAAAGAATAAACAAAATAATAGATTTTAAATATTGAAACTAACCTGACTCAAAACTGAATATATCCCTTTCAAATCCGTATCTTCGTAAAGAATGAAGAGGCCACACAGTAGAGTCTCTGCCCTCTCTGTATAGTATTATATCTGACTCTGTGATCTCTAATTTACCTGAGCAAAGGTCTACTTTATTCTCATCAATATTTATAACACGAAAAACATTTGGATGTAAATCAGAAATCTCTTTTTTACTATGAAAGCACCCCATTACTATTTTCTATATATCACAAATTTTGTTACAAAATTCTGAAAAAGTAATACAAAATGTATCACAACTATGTATATTCAAAACATTTTACTCATATATAGTATAAATAAAAGCAGAAAGCCACTATCACTGTACCTTTTTCATTGTAAACAAGTATCAGACGAGCTTACGAGATCGAAAATTTAAAACAAGACAAGACCAAAATAAATACAAATTTTATACTTGACAAAATATTTTTGGCAAATTATATCACCCCTGTTAGTTTTAGGCTCCATAAAGATTTACAAAACAGAACACTATTACTTTATGCGGAGTTTAACATTTTTTTTATTTACATTACAAATTTTGATTTTCCAATATCTACAATTTGATTTTGGTTTATTTGACTCTTTGACAGTTATTGTTATTAACATTTTTTGGCTTGGATACTTGTCTATTAAGCCATGTCTTCATTTCAATAGGGAACTTTGTTTTTTCTTAGGTTTTCACTAATAGAAATACACTAACATTATCTTTCGTCGTTTAAAGGACAGCACAAATACGAGCAACAAAAATGAAGTTTAATTTAAATGTACAACACGCATAAATTTAATAAGTGAAACAAACAACAGCCACAAAAGAAAAGAAAAACAGGGCTAAACGCACTACATAGTTTTACTTAAAATAAATTAAGTTGCGACACAAAAAACTCTGGACATAATGACCGCCATGTTGATATATACAGACATAGCTAGTATTAAACAAATCAAAATCATGCTTTTTTCATACATTATTAAAATTATTACTAGACCGATACATGAAAGTATTGTTCATTCCAATAAAATAAAAATTCCTCATCGTAAAAGACACAGTGACAAATTGTACAAGAAAGCAAAGCGCGATAAAAACAATGCAATATTACTGAGGTATCGCAATTTTTGCAACAATTTGTTGAAAAAAATTAAAACCGCTTACGAGAAAGCCGAGTTCTGTAAAAATAAACGCAATCCAAGTGGTCCTTGAAATACTGTAAATAAGATCATTAACCTCAAACAATATTCACCCCTCCATGTGAAATACTAAATCTAACTGATGATCCTCATAAATCTGTTGTTATTGTTAATAATTACTTTGCAGAAATTGGCCCATCTTATGCTAACTTAATATGAAAAACTCAGCAATACTTTGGCCACCCTAAAATGGTTAAAGATCGTGATGAATCTAACCTATTGCATAAATCTATGGTGTTGCTTGACACAGGCTATTACGAGATAAAAGCTATTATCACAAACTTAAAAAATGATTCAGCCACGGGAATCGATAGCATACCTACCCTAGTCATAAAACGTGCCAAAAACAGCATGATTCTCCCCATAAAATATTTGTGTAACCTTTATTTAAAAACCGGTGTTTTTCCAGATATCTTCAAGAGGGCTCTAGTTTACCCTATACATAAGAGTGGTGACAGAGACAGTGTTGAAAATTACAGGCTCATATCTGTACTAAGTGCGATAGCCAAAATACTTGAAAAAGTTTTATATCTCAGACTCACAAATTTTCTCAAACATAACAATATAATTTCAGATAATCAATTTGGCTTCGTGAAAGGTAAGTAAGTCTACTGAAGATGCAACTTTAATTCTAACTGAGACAATCGCAAAACATCATGATAGTAAGTTGAAAGTTATAGGTGTTTATCTTGATTTTCAAAGGCCTTCGACACTGTCTCTATTCCCCTACTTCTGCATAAGTTGGAGTTGATCGGCGTACGAGGGATTGCTTTAGATATATTTCGATCTTATCGATCTAATCACACGCAGTTAGTTAAAATCGATAATTACACTAGTTTACCTACTACTGTCTCGTTTGGTGTACCACAAAGTAGTGTACTAGGCCCAACTCTCTTTCTAGTTTACGTAAATACTTTATACACACTTACCTTACCTAACAGCAAAATCAATCAATATTTTTCTCAAATTTTTATTGTTTATTTATGCCAAACAAAAGTGAACAGAAGTATTAGTTTACCGGTAATTGTAAAAATAAAACTATTACTTCACCTATTCAAAACTTATGTATTTAATAATCTTAACTTTTGCATAAATAGTTATAATATACTCGCTAAAGAATTTCCTTCTAAATCATATTATGTTATACATATTTGTAATTCAAGCAAATAAAAAAATACTACTATTGAATATCGCGAAGAAAAGGCCTTATCTTATATTGCTTATATTCGAATTCCGATTAAAATGGACTATGACTGGCTTAAGTTCTTTGATAACAAAATGTTTTTATTCCTGCCAGTTTATAAGTGACAAGCTCTGTCTTAAATATCTCCTTCTATTAATTTTTTTTTATATACTACGGCTGCCATAGAAATCCAAGATGATATAGAAAAACCTTTATCGATTAAATGTCACTCACTGGATAGACTAGAATATTGTAAGAAAGTTTTTCAATCAAACGATTTTAAACTTCTCACTTTTAATATACGTAGTCTTCAACATAATTTTAATGATTTTTTGGTAGTCCTAAAGAGATTAAACATAACATCATAGTTCTGACTGAATACTGGCTACATTATAGCTCAGTAATTGGGCAAATAGCCGGTTATAAGCCCTTTCATACTAAAAGGTAAAGGTAAAGTTAAAGTAAAAGGTAAAGTAAAGGTACAGGTAAAAGTGGGGGAGTGGTTGTTTACATTAGGTTGGACAAGTGGATGCCCTCTGTGCAGGAGCCCACCTTTGATGAGGCAAACTGACTTGGATAACTCATTGTCTATACTATGCATATATCGCTCTCCCTCATTTCACAACTTTAACGGCTTTTTACAATCTTTGGACAGTACACTTCACAGCTTACAGGATAGGTCTTGTGTAATGGTGGCGGGTGACTTAAATATCAATCTGTTAGCTAACGACACTGATTTGCAGATATCTGATTACTTATGCCTAATGGCTTCCCACGGGTTGTTGTCGGCTATTTCAGAGCCTACTAGGGGAGATACATGCTTGGACCACATTTTCATTAAATGCAAACATATTATTTCAGCAGCTGTATGCAAATGCTCCTTGACTGATCACTATATGCCTATGGTGGGTGTGAGCTTTGCTGAAATTAAACCTAAATCGAAAAACAAGTACAGAAATATTGTTGATATTGGCACAATTAATTTGGATCTTTGCGGTATGAACTGGTCGACGATAACTGGCTGTGAAGACGTCAACGAGGCCACTTTTAATTTTGACCAGATTATACAATCAGCTTAGGTAAACATTATAGTAAAGTAAAATTGAGCCGCACTAAATACAACATCAAACCCTGTGTTACTCCCGGGCTGATGAAATTTATGCGACATAGAGACAATATGCACAGTCGGGTCCGTGCGAATCCCAATGACATCATGCTTAATCTAACCTACAAACCATATCGCAACTTTTGTAATGACCTGCTGCACTGACTCAAGGCTGAGCACGAGAATGGAGAGCTAAAACACCACAAGCGGAATCCTAAAAAGCTTTGGCAGGCAATAAAAAACGTTTGCGAGGTCCCCCAAAAGAGTAAAGATTCTGAGGAACTTTTGAAAAGTGATGTCGACATCAAGTCTTCATTAAATTTCTGTAATAGTCATTTTGTCTCCTCCGGTCGAAAATTGTCTGACCAAATCTTGTCTAAGCTTTCAACCTCAGAGATCAAATTGAGTGCTTCCGTTGGGACTCCCAATCATCTGCTTAACTTTTTCTTCTTTAAACCAACTGATTCATTAGAAATACAGACGCTGATTGAGGGTTTACGTAGTGATAGTGCTCCGGGAGTTGACGGATGTAGCCGTCTTTTTATTAAAGATTTCCTTATTGATTCCTCTTACTCATATTCTCAACCTTAGTAATTACTTACTTTTACTAAAACTTAGTAATAAGTAGTAACATAGTCTTAGTAAGGGCGTATTTCCTGACAGATGGAAGTGTGCGGTAGTAAGTCCGATTTACAAAGCTGGACCAAAGAATATCCCGGATAATTACAGGCCTATATCGCTCCTAACAATCTTCTCAAAGCTTCTTGAGAAGATAGTTAATATCCGTCTGCTGAAGTATATCGAGAAGTTGAAGCTAGTTTCTGATAGACAGTTTGGGTTTAACCCGGCGGCATGTGGGTTGGCTCTGTGCGACCCGTTTCATTTTATTGCGCTTCTAGTTCTTTGCCGTTCTTCTCAATAGCTGGAACAGTTGAGTTTTTCTATGCGTCTCAAGCAAAATGTTAGTCGTGGCACAGCCGCAGTGGGAGTTACAGGTGCACAAAATTGAATAAAGTACGTGAGACCCATCCCCGCAGTCAGTGTAACAATTTCACGCCATTTTGTATAGATATTTTTTTACTTATTATCTGTGTTTTTATCCTTTTATATTTGATTTTTTGTTGTTGTTTACAATTGTATTTACTGATATATATAGTTCAATGCATTTTATTTGTATTTTTGTAGGTACTTAGCAAAAAATGGATCGCGAAGAGATAGAACGACAGTGTATTTTTGCAATTTTACAAGAATCTGACTTAGATTCTGAATTGTTAGACCAGGATGTGTGTGACGAAGAAGATCACTTGAGTGAGCGTAGTAATCCTAGTGACACAGAACAAGATATCTCAGAGGCTGATGATGATGACATTTCACTGTCTACTCTATTGCATAGAAGTCGTTCGCCAGAAGAGCAATGTACATCCGAATCGTCTAGTTCTTCAAACGCAAACCGTGAGTGTCCTTCGGGTTTTTATTATGGCAAAGACGGTACGATGTAGTATAAGACGCCTTTTCGACAAAATGTCAGAACCAGAACTGAAAACATAATCCATCAATTGCCAGGTGTCGTCCCAGAAGCAAAATCGGCGATGTCTGAAGTGGAATGCTGGAATCTTTTCATTACTGAGGATATGCTGCAAATCATACTTATGCATACTAATGCACGCATTATACCTAAAATAGCTTCATGTACTAATTTATCTAAGTACACCCATGTAAAAGAATGTACTATAATTGAATTGAAAGCTTTTATAGGCCTCCTTTATCTAGCTGGTCTTTACCGATCGGAAAGGCAAAATTTGTAATGTCTTTGCAGAGATTTCATTTTATTCAGAGTTCTTTGACGTTTGATGATATATTCTACTCGTGGGCAAAGACAGCAACTAGACAATCTGGCTCCAATTAGAGAATTTTTTGAAGCATTAGTTAAAAATTGTAAAAAACTTATACACCATGTGATTGTCTAAGAATTGACGAAATGTTTGTAGCTTTCCGAGGTAGGTGTAAATTTCGTCAATATATATCTTCTAAACCTACTAGTCGACGCAAGAAATTTTTATATAAAAAACTTAGAGATATATCCTGGGAAGCAGCCTGAAGGCCCTTATTCTGCCAGTAACAAGCCACTTGATGTCGTTGACCGGATTGTACAGCCAATTACAAGAACAAACAGAAACGTTACCTTTGATAACTGGTTCACTAGTTATGAACTGGTGCAGCATTTGCTCAAAAAACATAACTTGACATCAGTTGGTACCCTGCGCAAAAATAAAAGACAAGTTCCAGTAGAATTCACTAAAACTCGCGGAGTTGAAGTTTTCTCATTTCGATTTGGTTTTCAAAAGGATATCACACTTGTCACTCATGTGCCTAAAAAGAACAAAATAGTATTGCTGATGTCTAGTTTACATCACGACAACAAGATTGATGAAACAACAGGAGAATATAATTATAATAAAATAGTAATTCTAAAAGGTGGCCATTGACAATTTTTTATGCCTCGTTGAACGTAGCTGCTATTAATGGCCTAATAATAAACAAAATAAATAATAATTGTTCAAAAACAAAACGAAGGCGATTTATAAAACAACTAGGTCTCAGTCTTGTTATGGAACACCTAAAACTTCGCCAAAATGTATCAGTGCTTCTACGTGAGTTGCGACAGAAAATTGGACAATTTGTTGGTGAATCTTCAGGGGAACCACAAGCAAAAAAGCCTAATGTTCGCAAACATTGCCAAGTGTGTTCAGCCAAAAAAGACCGTAAGACAATCTACACCTGCGAGAGTTGCAAAAAATATATCTGTGTAGAACATATAGTACCTTTTTGTGCTGACTGTACCAAAGATACGAATTGATTTTTTTTACTTAAGTTAATTTAGTTTCCTACAAAAAAGTGACATTAAAACATTAAGGCTGATTGTTAATTAATAATTACATTTAAATAGAAGAGAAAATTTTTGTTGATATTTGTCGTTCTATTTTTAAAGTTCCATTTAATGTAATTAAAACATAAATATAATATGATATTTGTGTTTCATTTATTTACTTAGATACCTATAGAACTAAACATGAATAATATTAACTTTATTGTTTATACAGTATTGAAATAATTTTGACATTAATAAACGGGTCGGTGAGACCCACCCCAACGTCCGTGTAACACTTTTCCACCCCCATGACGCCGGGTTAAGGATGCTATTAATCTGCTGATAAATCAAATTTCATCGAAGGGAAGGTTTCAAGGAAGGATAATGGTAAATGTAGTCTTGGTATTTTTCTAGACCTATCTAAGGCCTTTGACACCGTGTCTAGACAAATATTGTTGAAGAAGCTCGAGGGTTTTGGAATCCGCGGTACTGCCAGGAATTGTTTTCAAGGCTATCTTACTAATCGATACCAAAGCGTGCAAATAGGGCTTGATCACACAAGTTACCAGCTTCAGGTGACCTTCGGCGTGCCCCAGGGCAGTATTCTCGGGCCGACCCTTTTTGTTGCGTATATGAATGACCTTCTAGAACTCATAATACCTCAGTGTGAAACAATTTGTTACGCAGATGACACCGTTGTCTTATTTCATGGTTGATTCTGGAAAGAAGTAAGAAAGCTGGCCGAGAACGGTATGGTTCAAGTGGCTGGGTGGCTGAATCGTAATTTGTTGACACTTAATGCGAAAAAATCCAAATACATGTGTTTCCACAAAACTTGTGTAACTAATCCGTTGATGCAGAACGACATTCCAGTCCATAATTGTAACATTCTGCAACATTGTGACTGTGAGGGTATTGCGGGAGTGGAGACGATCAGGTACTTGAGTGTTTGAGGAAATATTGTGGTCAACAATTACTTGTTGACCACAATATTTCCTTCAAACAGCATATCTCATACCTCTCAAATCGAGTCAAGAATGTTATTTACATAATGAAGTTGCTCAGGAACTGTGCTGATAAAAGGCCACTTCGTATGGTTTATTTTGCCCTCTGCCAATCCATAATACAGCTTGGGGTGGTGCCTCCAAATCAGAGGGCACAGAGAGCAGTTCTCAAGGTCATGTTTAAAAAGCCCTACCGGTACCCTACGGCCGATCTTTATCGGGATAGCGAGGTTTTGAGTGTACGCCAGATGTATATTCTATCTGCAGTATTAAAAACCCATGGGCAAGTAATTCAGTCGCCTATTTACGACCACCTAATCACTAAACGTATATTTAAAATCCCAAATTCCGGCTGCCAGGTCTGTTTTCGCGCAACATCTTCCACAGTTCTCATATCCTCATATTTATAACAAAATACTTAAAGTCTGTGACATCAAAAATTGCACCACATTGAAAGCTAATCAAATAGTAAAAAAATATTTTACTTATTAATAAAACTAAAAAAAAATAAAAAAACCACACAAAATTATAATGATAACTTAATATTAAAGCAAAAATAATACCAGATTATATCTACGTTTCACACAAAAATATTGTATTCATATTTTTTCTAGAAATAAAAAATTAAATAATAATGTAAGCGACAAATAGTTAAAAAGTATCTTCCTAAATTAAGAAATAATTTGTTGTTCTGTATAATTTGGGTACTTTTAACTATGTAAGTAAAACTGATAACCATACTCCTGGTCCCCAGGCTAGGCTATGCCTATTTTGGGCCCGCCAGTAACTTTTTTATATGTAATAAGTATTTAATTTAATTTAATGGCTAATGTAGCTTTTAACGTAACTTGAAGTAATTCCTATTAGCATGTTTGGCACTCGATAAAAGGCTGATAACAATACGATTTTTATGACGCATTTCTTCAGTTGTACTGTTTCAATTTTACATCGGTTCCAACGCTACACGGCAAAAATGCAATTTTTGCCGTGTAGTGGCGGTTAAGAATATCCACTACCCCATATCTTCCCGTGGGTGTCGTAAAAGGCGACAGAGGGAGACAGGCAGGAGGTGGGCAGCAGCATCTTCCTGATAACAGCAAATGTACGACAAAAAAAACTGCGGTTGCCAACCCGCTCGCCAAGCGTGGCAACTATGGCAATATACCCCCCATGAATAATTACACAAATAGACGGCCCCCAGTCCCCGGCGGCCCCGCTATTCCTGGCTACGGTGGCGACCATGGTAACGGCGGGGCAGGGGGTACTAAGAATCTCCGGTGGAGGTTCGGTTGCCACCTACGACGACTCGACCTGGCAACATTTAACGCACGCACCCTGAGGACTGACGAGAAGATCCTGGAGCATTACAGCGGAGCTTCTGAAAGCGGGTGGAACACCGGTACTTGAAGTCCTTCAGAAGCTCTTCAATTCCGTCCTCCATGGTGGCACTACTCCAGAGGCGTGGAGCAGAAGTGCGGTGGTCTTGTTCTTCAAGAAAGGTGACAACACCCTTTTGAAGAACTACAGACCGATATCCCTTCTGAGCCGTGCTATTTTCGAGAGTCATTACGAATCATCTCGCACGCATCATATTATTATATATTATATATTTTGGTTTTTAGGGTGGCCGTTTTTGGTTTTTGTACAGTTGTAGATAATTAGTGTGCGCGAACAGAGAACTGTTATCTGGTCTAGATTATCGATTGAATAATTCTGAAATGAATAAAATGCATTTTTATTGGAAAACAATTATTTAATATATTTTACATTTACAACTAAATACAAATATAAGATACAAACAAAACAATTTAAGCATATATATAATGGAGAATATCTAATTTGAAACTAAACGCGCCCCCATTTTATTTTGGTAGATGTTATCACTTATTATGTGAAAAAAGAACTGTGAAGATCAAACCACAATCGATAAAGATATGTAATAAGAAAAAGAACATACACTCGAATTGAGATTCTCACCCTTTCTTTTGATTTCGGCTAATATTTTTTGTCATTTGACCGTTTAAAATAAATATGTTAAACTCAACAAAATTAGAATTCCTTTGCCTAATTTCATTTTAGATAAAAATTTACATTTTATTTTTACGGTACTATACGTGTGTTAGTAAATACGAAAACATTTTCAGCATATTATCAGTGCAAGAAAGGTTCCAGGATTCCAGTTCAGATATGAGCATGACAAATTTAGATTCTGGTGTGGCAATTGCTACTGGTGATTGGTTAATTATATTTCCATCTCTGGTTCAGATATTCTGCCAAAGAGGTGCATTATCCTACAATCTTTACCAACATTATGATAAATGTGTACGTCACAGCTTGAAGAACTTTCTGAATCTGGTCATAGACGCTCTTGCTGCGGAAGTGAGACTATCAAACCGTATTTGACTTAGAATTGTAGACAATGAAGTTTTGTCATATTTTTTTACTTTTTATTCGATAAGCCAGTAATAAAACAGGGTTTATCAAAATAGCACAAATAGGTTTCTGTGATGCGGCTTAAAAATTTCCAGACCTTTACCGCTATAGCTAGAATTAGGTAGAGAACGTATGCATTCTAAATCGCATCTTATCGGCACACGCTAGTGTAATTCTTATTTGAGTTGCGTTA